TCCTTATTCCTGAGCTACACGATCGACAGTCATCACCTTATGCAAATAGGTAGCAATCTTGGATTAGCCCATTCGATTGTTAAGAGGTACTGGGTACTCTTGAATAAATAATATATACATACAGTTTAAAGAACAAATCAGTCCCACCCCGGAGTATGATCCGGCTGTTTCACACCGGTGAAGATATCGGCAATACGCATCGAATGAGTCCAAAATGGATGTGATAAGGGCTGTTCATTCAACACTCTAATCACTCGCGAGTTTTCCGGACTGACCCGGAGCAGTGCTATCCGCCATTGTTCTCCCCAGCTCGATCGAAATCTGTGCGATGAGTCTACTTTCTGGGACATCAAACTGCGTGTCAGCCTTCTTGTCATGTAATTCTTTTATGGCGATGACCAGATTGTATATCAAGCCCCAATATTCAACCATATGAATTATTTATTAACCACAAATAATGCAATCAGCTTCTACCTTTTCAGAAGAGAGAACACACGGTCAACAAACAGTGTGAAACTCACTCTGACTTGGAGCGGGAGGGGGAGGCGGGTGACGAGTCTTTTCCTTCCCAGTGGGTTTACCGTTCAATCGGGTCCCCGTACTCGAACCCAAATTAGCTTGATCTGGTTCGTGTGCAGACACCGGTGGCTGATCTGCTCCCGAATCCTGTAGACTGCACGGAGTTTGCTCGCTAGAAATGGAATCCAAACTGGAAAATTCGTCTGAGACGGATTCAGCCACAGGGATTTTTGGCTCAACACCGTTGGAGAGGGAGACACGTCGGGCTGATGACCGATCAGTCGGTGCGGCTTTCGAAGCGATATTCGGATGCGAACGTGACGCTTGTATTTTGCCTGGCGAAGTTCGACGGTGACCGGGACGACCGAACGCTTGTGATTTCTTTTGTTCAGGGGGACGGTTTCCCGAGACAGGTCGATTTGGGGGTGTCGTGGGCTCATGCACAATATCTGAACCGGATGTGGTGGATGCACTTCGTGACGAGGAAGAGATAGCGGTCGAATCGGCTGAAGATGAACGGGACCGGGATGACGAGCGATGACCGGAGGATCTTCGATTAGACGGTTGCGACTGTGTTCGTTGATTCACTTTCTGACTAGGCCGTGACGGACTTTTGGTCTGGTTCAGAATGAAATATGGAGTAAAAGAATTTTATTCAAATGCAATGGAAATCTGACACCCGAATAACAAAAAAAGAAGAGGTATTATCAACCACTTCAGTTGTATGACACAGTTAATTACAAAAAGGCTATTCACCAATACGAACTATCCGTCATTAATTTCCAACGCAAATATGGCAAAAATACAACGCGTCGAAGGTGAAAGAGGACAAAGGGAGGGAGAATTTCACATTTCGTTTGATCTCCTCAATCAATGAGGTAAAACAAGCTGGCATATATGAAGCACATTGGGTTGATACATCACATCATACAAACGATGATTGTCAGAGGATAGAAGTGAAAGGTCAACTCCATCGTAAAAGGATTAATTGGTTCGACAACTTTTGTGCGCCCAAAAAAGGGAGACGTGATCGAATAAGCTGCGCTCCACCGATTGCTAAAAGCTTAGCACTTCGATTACATAACAGCTGTTTGAAACTGTGCCTTATCAGCATGATGTGTTTTGCAATGGATGGACGCAGGTTTCATGTCATCGTCTGACTATCGGCCGTCGAATGCCTCATCGATTTCGCCAACCACATTGGAATGGGATAGCTGACAGTTTGTTCTGCCTATGCAAGAGTCGCCGCAACTGTAGGTGAACTGGTAGAAACCGATTTCTAGCTCAGTTTACGTTGTCCAGATCATTTCCACGAGCAGATGCAATGAGTCTGAGTTGAGCAGCTGGGAATGTGCCATCTATAGACGCTAACCTCAAACTTAGGTGCACAGCACATGGCGACCTTTGAAAGCTAGCATAATGTCCACGGCCCTTTGCTAAAGTTTTGAGTTAAGTTGACTTTTAGGAACTGTCCACTATGATTTTCTTTTAATATTCCTGGACAAGTATTGTTTAGCAATGTTCTCCTCAGGAAGTTCCAACACTATTATTGATATTATTTTTGTGACAGAATCCCCGCATTGGTCGGTAAAGAGCGCCAGACTGGTCAGATTTCTTTCTCATTGTCGTTGTCGTCAATGAATTTGCTGTTTTACAGCACTGTTTCCATACCGGAACTGTATTCGCAAACCTACGAGTTGAGGAGCCTCCCCCCCCCCCCAAAA